TCTTCTTCTTCTTCTTCTTCTTCTTCTTCTTCTTCTTCTTCTTCTTCTTCTTCTTCTCTCTGTCTCTCTGTCTCTCTGTCTCTCTCTCTCTCTCTCTCTCTCTCTCTCTCTCTCTCCTTCTCTCCCTCTCTCTCTCTTCCCCGCACTGGGATTAAAGGTACTTCCTATGGTGCCTAGCTTCCCTTTCCCCTTTTATTGAAAATAGATTGTTTATTGCATGTTATATCCTGATTATGGTTTTCCCCTCCCTCCACTCCTCTCATTTTCTCCCCACCTCCCCTCCCATCTGGACCTCCTCCCTTTCTGTCTCTCATTATAAAAGAACAGGCTTCTAAGAGATACTACTACTACTACTAATAATAATAATATAACAAAATAATATAAAATATGATAAAGTAAAAACTATCACATCAGAGTTGGACATGACAAACAAACAGAAGGAAAAGAGCCCAAGAAGGGTACCTGGCTCTTTACATGGGTGCTGAAGATCTACTTAGGGCAGTGGTTCTCCGCCTTCCTAACACTGAGACTCTTTAATACAATTCCTCATGTTGAGGTGATTCCCAACCATGAAATTATTTTTGTTGTTACTTCATAATTGTAATTTTGATACTTTTAACAAATTGTAATATAAATATCTGTGTTGTCTGATGGTCTTACGTGACCACTATGAAAGGATTGTCCAATCCCCCAAAAGGGTCTCGACTCGTAGGGCGAAAGTCACTGACTTATGTCCTCGTTCAAGCCCTTCGCTGATGAGACTGCCTCCATAGCCTGAGAAGTGATTCTCAACTTTATATTTTGTGCACAGCCACATGGGACACATTGGTGCATAGAGAACTGAAATTGAAGTTTCACCTTGCTTATAGGCTCAGACCTGAAACCGAGAAGTTGGGGGGGGAGGCTTTGCACCCCTCATCTTATTTCAGTCCCCATCAGTCAACTGCAGACACTCACCAGGCTTAGTTCTGTCCTGTGCATAGACGATGATCAGATGAAATCTCCCAGGATTGCGGCAGCTCCAGGGGCTGCCACAGCAGCCATTTCTCCCTGTTGTTTACTCTGGTATTCTTGGCTGTGTTCACTTTGATCCAGCCTTTGGATGGCAAATGCACAAGACAAGAGATCCTCCTGCCCTGACCTTGAGAAAGGAAATCACTTTCAAAAGCTCTTTGGGGAAACACTTAGTCTATATGTGACTTGAGATCAAATCACAGAGTCCTTGATGCTGATAATAAAATTAATAGACTCAGATCAGAAGGGAACAGAGGTCTCATAATATTGACATCATCATCCGGCACGAGACCTTGCTGCGTGGATCCTCTCAAGTGAGGCAAATGATTAACTCTGGAAGGGTTCAAAGTGCCACTGTCAGCTGAACCACGGCTTTCTTGCTTTTTAGATATACAGCTGGTTTTCTCTCTTGGATCAAGAGAGAAAACCTCATATTTATCACTGCTTAACTTTATTAAATCTTATCCTTAGGGAAATAAAGAAAAGGATGGGCTACATGCAAGGACAGCTAAATTTTGTGATGACAGTTTGGGAGCAGAAGCAGGATCAAGGCAGAATTTGAGGACTATTTACCTTTTTATGAGCAAACCCCCTTTTAAAATATATACGCTAGCTTAAAAAGTAACAAGTTTTATTGACATTTTTATACATAGCCCCTGGGTTGATTCTCTTTCCCATTATTTCCCCCCATCTTCATGGCCCCACCCTCTCTCCTCCCCCAGTATTCTTTTCGTTTTCATATCTCATGTGTGTGTATGTGTTTGTGTGTTTGCGTGTGTATATGTATGTATGCGTGTGTGTGTATGTGTGTATGTATGTTTGGATATGTATGTGTGTGTGCGTGTATGTATGTGTGTGTATGTATGTGTATGCGTGTGTGTGTATTCTATTATCGTCTCCACTCTGCTTCCTCAAGACGTCTCCTTCCTTCCCCACGGCAGCTTTCTAATTTCACGGCCCGTGCCCATACTTGCTCGCATATAACCACACATACGAACCCTGAACTCTGAATTGACACCCAACCCAGACTGTTTCTAGTTTCCTGAGAACAACTCCCTTTCTCTGAGGTCCTGAAGCATGGCATGGGCTCACCTGTCTCTTTCGTGATCTGCTCATTTCTCCAGGTCGCAGCCTATCTGTGCTGGGAGGCTCATGTGCTAGCACCATCTTAGCCCCCATCGTGTTCTCTTCACTGGCTCCTTCAGCTGGCCTTGCCTCCTGGGTGGGAAAATGAAGGCAATGAAGGGTCTATCTGTTCAATTTTGTTCCCAGCATGCGTGCGCCTCTGCCACAGCACCTCACGGAACCCATTTTGTAGTCCCTCTTAAGGTACTTGTTTTCTGTAAGAAATACTCATGAGTCTGACTTTTAAGAAGCCCGAGAGCTGATGAAACCTGACTAACTTCCTTGGTTAGGATATATCAGGATTGCTGCTGCTCTTTCTCTGCCACGGCACCCACTGAAGCGAAAATAATACAAGGACCTTTGGTAATAAAGCCAGCAGCAGGACAGGAGAAGCATCCTCTGGCACAACAGTATCTAGAAAACTGGTTACCAGGGACTTAGCACTGGCAGGATGAACAGGCTGATCAGTATTTACTAATTATTTTATGTGTCTGAATATTTTACCTGCGTGTATGAATGTGAGCCATGTATGTGCAGTGCCTGGGACAGTCAGAGGAACTGGTCAGATTCCCTGGAACTGGAGTTACGGGGAAGTGTAAGGAAGTGGTTCTCAACCTGTTGGTCATGAATCCTTTGGGGTCATGTATCAGATGTTCCACATATTAGTTATTTACAATTCGTAACAGTAGCAAAATTACAGTTACAGAGTAACAATAAAATAATTTTACGGTTGGGGGCCACAACAACACGAAGAACTGTATTAGAGAGTCGCAGCGTTAAGAAGGTTGAGAGGCATCGCTGTAAGCCATCATGTGGGTGCTGGGAATTGAACCCAGGGCCTCTGCAAAGATCAGCCAGTGCTCTAACCACCAAGCTAACTTTCTTGCCCGAGATCTGATCATTGTCTGCCACTCCTTGCAATGTCAGACGGTGATGAAGGGCCATCACTTTCTCCATCCCCCTCACCACTCTCTAGCTATGGAAATTTCAAGAACTTAATTTTATCTGTCCCCTAGAAGGAATGGTGACTTGGAACACCTGGTAGCCTAAAAAAAAAAAAAAAAAAGATCCTAAATGTACCAAAGAGCCTGCACTGCAAGACTGAGTTGGATGGAAGGAATAATCGGATAATCCACTCCCTGAATTCCACAGTCCTGGCAATGCTGTGTGTGTTGTAACGGCGTGGAAGGGAGGGGCCGAGGGCTGTGTGAGCTTTCCTGGGATCTAAAGTATGCTATGCTGGCTCCGGCGAGAATTCCTTGGAGGTCTGCATCGGGCCTTCTCCCATCACTCCACCCAGCTCCTTTGATAAGGCTTCTCAGCCTCCTTTCTCTGGCAGGCTGCCAGTTCCCTGCTACCCGGGTATCATGATTCCCAAGGTGTTATCTGCGGGACCCATCATATTCCATAATTTCAAGCTCACCAATACATATTAACCATGTATGTGGCATTGGGAACGACACTGGGCTGCAGCACTGAACGAGACAAAATCTCTCCTCGTGGGCCTTACATTTTTGTGGAGGAGTTCAGGCACTTAGTGATTTATCACCCACTGTAAATGATGACAGGAAGATGGACCGTAAAAGAGGAGCCTCAGGAACAGGAAAGCGTCCTGCAGAGAGTGACATCCCATCTTAGCTGTAGAAGTGATTAGGATTGGCCGGGTGCAGATGGAGAGGAAGTAAGAGCGGCACCAAAAGACAAAAGGGCACAGGTATCTGAGCGGATAAACTAGAAATAAGGATAGCCTTTCTTCGATGCCGTTGAGAAGCCATTTGGTGCAGAAACTGGGAAGAGAGACAAGAACAAGGTCACTCAAGCAAGGCCTTGGGGACTGTGCATTCTTGAGGATTTTATTCTGTGGTCAAGGGCAAGAGGATTATGAGCTTTAAGTGCTCTGTGTGTGTGTGTGTGTGTGTGTGTGTGTATGTGCACACGTGTGTGTGTGTGCACGTGTGTGTGTAGGAGACAGGTTCAGTTGGTAAAGCGCTAGTCACACAAACAAGAGACCTGAGTTAGCCAGCTCACACATAAAAATTAGTAGCATCTTTAACCCAAGTGCAGGGGGAACTAAAGGTAGGACAACCAGCAACTCCCTGATCCCTGATCTTGCTGATCAAGGAGCCCCGAGTCCAGCGAAAGATTTTATCTCAGCAGAGAAAGTGGAGATGGATCAAGGAAGATGTCTACTCTGCCTCTGGCATTCATGTATACACATCCATGGACACAAACATACATCATTTTCTTTTGTAAAATAATTAGATTTTATAATAGAAATGATTAGATTTTTGTTTAAAAATATTAACCGGATAGAGAATGGAAAATGCACTGTTAGGAGTTAAGAGTGTAAGGCCCTCAAAACATGGGTGTGGCCAGGCCCCACCCCAGAGAACCTCCTACTGTCAAGCCTCAAGCAGAGAACACTCTAATATCCAAATCCAGCCAGTCCAGAAGCAGAGAGCCAAGCTCCACCCTCCAGAGTGAAAAGCCTAAACTCAGTTCCTGGCCTTGAACCCCTACCAACCCCTGAGCCCAGGACTTGAAACCCCACCAATCCCCGCCCAGGAAGGCTCTGCACCCTACAACCAAGAAACCCCTGTAAAGTCTGCTCAGTTCTTTGCTGCACCTCACCCAAGCAGAGGCACCCCCTGTGCCTTTCACAATACATCTCGTGTGGGGTTTGCTGTGTGGTGTGACTTTGTGGTATTCCTTGGCTCCCAGCCGACAGGATACCTTTCCCGAGAGCTGTAACACTTACAAAGAGGACACGTGGTGAAGGCAGTCTTTAGAGCTCAACAGTGAAGGTGCACCATGTGTCTATGGTGTGGAAGAAACGTGAATAGACGCCAAGCCAACTGAGGGGTCAGGTATCTAGACGTGGGGGTTAACTTCATAGATGAGGAGAGAGCTGACACAGCCTGCAGAACTCCCTTTGCTGCTGGAAGAAATCAAGTATGGAGAGAAGCAGGTCTGTGTTTGGGGACTGATGCATTTGAGGGCTGCTGGGCATTGCTATGTACCTTCTGGTGACAATGTCTCAGGACCCTTGCAAAAGTCATCTGGAAAATGGCCCGCCAGTCACAGGCCAGCCTATATAGCAACTCTGGTTCCTAAAATGAAGCACGGGTTTAAAGGCAAAGGAGGGATTGCTCGTAGCTATAAAGGACTGTATTGAATTACGGTGGCAAAGGCACAGAATCCTTTAAAATCCACTTTGCTGAGCTGGGTGTGTGATCGTGTGATGCATGCTGTAATCCCACCACTTGGGAGGCTGAGACAGGAGGATGGCTGCCAGTTAAAACCAGCCTTGGCTACATAGTAAGACTCTGTCTCCCCAAAAAAAACCATTTTATCACATACTTTTAAAAATAAGTCGTGTAAAATTAAACTCATCGCTTTTTAAGTGTTTAGTAGAGCAGTTCCCAATACCTACAGGATGTATTGCTCGCATCCCTGTCTAATTCTAGAACACTTCCAGCACTTCTAAAAGGAACCACTTGCTCAGTGAATAATCCCATCGCTTCCCGTTTCTTCTGCTCACACTCGGGCATCTACTTTCTGTCTGTGTGGGACTATTGAGACTTGTGAAAATGGAATCATGATGTGCATATCTTGATGGCATGTTGTTTTCAAGGTCCATCCATGTTGTAGCATGTGTTTATGCCTCATTCCTTTTAAGTTTTAATAGCTGCTCATGAGTATAAGACACATTTTATTAATTCAGTCACGTATTGAATTGTTTCACAGTTGGCTCTTGTAATCAACACGACTATGAACATACACAAGCAATGGCTTGAGCACCTGTTTTCAGTTCTCTTGGGAACAACCCTAGGCGTGAAATATCTGGGTCATATGGCTCATTCTATGTTAGAATTTTTTTAAATAATGGCCAAGTTTTTTTTTTCCCCCATAGTGAACCACATCAATTTCCATTCCTGTCGGCAATGTGTTTCGTGTTTCTGTTTTCTCTCTTCCGGATCCCCTTCTATGGTTTGTGTTATTCCCCAAAGTGACCGTGTTAAGAGTTGGGACCAGTCCAGGGGGTGGCACATGCCTTTAATCCCAGCACTCAGGAGGCAGAGCAGGCACATCTCTGTGAGTTTGAGTCAGCCTGGTCTACAGAACAAGTTCCAGGACAGACTCCAAAACTATAAACAAACCCTGTCTCAAAAAAC